TCGAAACCCATGCACTAGCCAGGAGGATGACACTGGAGCTAGATGGCATGGTGAGGTTGATGAGGAGATGGTGCCTGGTTGGCATGCATCTGCCTTCATGTGTTGGTTACGTGGGAACTCCAGCAGAGAGGATCATCTGACATCTTACTCTAGTCAGAGAGTAGATGGTCGATCTCCAGATCCTGAGGTTGAGGATGGTGGTGTGGATCAGCGTGATGTACACGATGATGCATTGGTGTTGGAGTTCCTACGGACCAGCATGGTGCCAGGCACAGTGGGTGCCAAGGAGCGAGATCGTGTTCTCCAACGGGCCAAGAGGTACCGATTGGAGGGATCACATGTTCTCCGAGTTTGGGAGGACGGTAGGGTACGAGTAGTACCACATCCAGCCCAGAGAGCACGCATTGTGAGGCATGCTCATGAGGAGTTGGGACATTTTGGAGTGAAGCGTACATACAGCTTACTCCTTGGTCAGTATTGATGGCGTGGTATGCATACTCAGGTACAGCAGTTGGTATCACGTTGCATGGTTTGTGATCGAGGGCATCATTCAATGCCCCGACACCAGTGTTACATCCATTACCCATCATGGGGTTGGGTTACCGTTGGAGTTTGGACTTTGCTGGACCACTACCTTTGACTGTACGACATCATCGGTATGTGTTGGTGATGGTGGAGCATTTCTCCAAGTGGATTGAGTTGGTGGCATTACCTGACAAGGCAAGTGAGGGAGTAGCGTATGCTTTTCTTGACAGAGTGCTTAGTCACTATGGTGCACTAGCTGAGGTGTTGACCGATCAGGGAACAGAGTTTCAGGGTGAGTTTCAGGTCTTGTGCGACAAGGCACTGATTGATCATCGGACCACGTCGCGAGATCATCCATAGGCGGATGGTTTAGCTGAACGTGTTGTACAGACGGTGAAGAGGGCGTTGCGCAAGTATGGCTTGCAGAAAGGTCATCTTGGGGACTGGGATATCCAGTTACCGTGGTTGGCCATGGGATATCGGTTCAGTCGGCAGGCATCCTTGGCTTCCTTCTCACCATATTTTCTATTGTACGGCCGAGATCCAGACTTGCCAACATCGATTCGTCGTGAGTCTAGCGAGGTGGTGAACCTTGATGACCCGAATATGTGGGTGAGCGTATGTTCTCAACGTGTAGAGCTCTTTCGGAGAGTTATGCTTGCAGCGTTTGAGAATCTTGCGATTGCTCAACATAGAGATACGTTGCGGTATGCAATCATTCGGGGAGGAGGTTATCGACCATCAATTCGTAGATTCCATGTGGGAGACTACGTCTATCTACAGCAGACTGCACCGACGACATTGGATGTGACGGCGGGACGCACAATCTTGCGGGTGCGGGAGGTGTTACCTTCTAGAGTTCTCATGTTGGAGGGTCGTGACGGCGTTGTTTGGAAGGATCATGTGCGCAATTGTGCGCCATGCCACCTCCCAAACGTAGATGGCACTATGGACCCAAGCTTAGCGATAGTACGTGCTGGCTTGAGGTGCATGCTGTGTAGGTCGGCTGGTCAGGCGGCCCGTATGTTGGTGTGTGATAGGTGTTCTAGGGGATGGCACATGTTGTGCCTGACTCCGCCTATCGATGTTATTCCGGCTGGACGATGGGTTTGTCCTCGATGTACTTCATAGGGGTAGATGACTTGATCTTCACATGTTATGAATTGCAGATAGGCGACTAACGATGGGGCGACATAGCATCCGGCCTACTGGTTCGCGCATCCACGAAGGTGTATAGCATGTAGTTGTAGATAGGGCTACCTAGGAGTCAGAGGGACCTGACCGCCAGCTAGGGGGGCGAGTTGTGACATTTGAGTGTGTACTCTCTCGCGCCTTATATGTGTGTATGTGTGTGCATATGTGTATGTGAGTAGCATGTCAGCGATGTAGAGTGTATGGCGATATGTATTCGCACGACAGCTGTCATGTAGTTACGAGTCGGCTCACGAAGTTTAGACACTTACTATATTTAGCCGTGAAGTTAGAGTTCGGGTCACGAGGGGTATACAGTCGGGGACGGCTCGAAGAACGTTAGTTCTTCGAGTCGAGCCTGGAAGCGTTGAAAGCGTAGAGTGACTTTCCCCTTTGCGTCGACCTGGATTCTCCGAGTGTGGAGTGGATTGGGCTTGACTCATGTTTGTGAAGGTGACGGTTTGTTGCCAGTAGGGTAATTGACCGACGGGAATTCCAGTGGGGACTTTCCCGTTCTTTTCAGTTGTGACATTTGAGTGTGTACTCTCTCGCGCCTTATATGTGTGTATGTGTGTGCATATGTGTATGTGAGTAGCATGTCAGCAATGTAGAGTGTATGGCGATATGTATTCGCACGACAAAAGTTACCTCAGTTACGAGTATGTTTTTCGTAAGTATCAGTTTCGTAACATACGACAATAGTTACAGACATCAATCTAAGGTAAATTAAGAGTTGAGGGAAATATATCCAGCTCGAGTGAAAACTTTTACTGAGTCTTCGGAGATGTTTTGTAATTGTTTCTTTTCTCCTCAAACCTAGTTTTTCTCCCCTTCTTATAAAAAACTAGGGTCAACCTTAAAAACCTAGCTCAGTTCAACGTTTTTACCTCGGTGTAACTTACTGCCAAATTCGGATACAAGGGAGCGAATTGGTAAATGGTAAATGGTAAATAGATCAAGCCCGTGGGACCCAAAGGGTCAAAAGGCTAAAAAACACAATACAAAATATCCAACCCAAACAAGGAGAGAACCAAAAGAACCCCCTAGCTAGTGTCCAAAGCACTAGAACGGTAACTAATAACATCCCTAATGTAACAACCTAAATCATAAGGTTCAAGCTAAAGCAAAGAATAAAAATTCTCAACTACAACTTTATGAGCCACTCTAATCTCTACATACCTAGTACAAGTAAGAAATACATGTTCTTCATCCTCAACTTTTCTTCCATCACATAGCCTACAAATACGTTCACTCCTATCAATGTTCAACCAACGCCCTTCTTCAATCCCAAGACTATGAGATCCAGTTCTATGTCTAGCAATAATATGACGTAAAGAAGTAGATATCTCTACAAGTAAATATCCTTGCTCACAATAAACATAGGATTCACATGAAGTTGATAAAACTGCATCTTGGTGCCTCGTCTACTCCACATAATGCTGAGAAATTCCTCCTTAATACGCTCGCGTAGGGCAATAGGTTGCAAATTCCAATCGAGTTCCGTCACATTCCACCTCAAAGACCAAGTCACCACATCTGCAAACCAACCCTTGGGACGTGTGGCACGCAAAGCTTCAAGAGGAAGTCGAGAAGCATCAAGAGATCTCACTCTTTTGACGTAAGTGATAGTCAAAAAGAGAGCTTCAGCCTCAAGAGGTAGACAACCTGTTTCCGCAAGAAGAATTGCATAAGAAGTTTGGGTACTCACACCCAATTCTTCTTGTAAGAAGATCTTTTGCACCCTCTCCAAACGCTGCCAACCTGTCTTCTTACAACCAGGACCCCACACTTGTGTTCCATATAAGATAACGGGAAACACTAAGCTCCTGAATAAGAATTTCCTAAGACTCCAAGACACTAGATGAGCTCCTCTACATCTATTTAGCAATGAATATAGAGCTTTGAAACCAGCTTCTACCCTCTTTTGCACACAAAGTGCCCAACTATAATCAGATGAGAAATCAATGCCCAAATATTTGTAACTTTTCACTTGTTCCAACTCTAATCCTTTGTAACAGAAAGAGAGCTTGGATCTAGTGCCCACAAGAATGACTTTGGACTTCTCCAAATTGACTTCCATCTGATTTTGAGTACAAAAGCTAGCCAAAGTGTCAAGGTGTTTCTGTAAACTAGTGGCATCACGTGCTAGTAATATGACATCATCTGCATACAAAAGAGCTTTGATGACAAAGTCTCCAAGTTTAACACCTTCGCTATCACAATACTCCAACCACCTTTCTATATCATCTATGAAAACTCCAAAGAGAGTGGGAGAGAAAGGACAACCTTGAATAACTCCAATGGTGCTGATAATCTCTTCGGTTTGAGAAGTGTTGATCTTGGCCCGAACTGAGTGGTATAATGCAGCCACCGCTACTAAGAGATCTGATGGTACTCCAATGGTTTGCAATCTTTGCCATAAAAGCTCACGAGGTAATGTGTCAAAAGCTTTCTTGAAATCAATGAAGGCACAAAACAAAGCTTTTCCATTACCCTTGGATTTCTCCCATAGAACACGTAAAATCAAGATATGGTCTATAGTGTTGAATGTAGGACGAAAACCAGCTTGGAACCGCGCTCTCTTCTGACAAGATTCAGCCCATGTGCTCAACTTTGACTCCACCAATTTGCCAAATAATTTGGCAAAAATACTACCCACCATGATAGTGCAATAGTTTGTCACCAAAGCCTTGCTCCCAGATTTGTAAATAGGAACAATCTTCCGTAGAGACCAAGATGAAGGAAATCCATGAATAGCAACATCTAACACTTTTGTGAGTATAGGCCCAATAGCATCTCCTCCCCACTTGAGAAGTTGAATGGAAAGCCCATCCAAATCCTCACATTTACCATTTGCCAATTGTGTGAGTTGAGTCATCACTTCAACTTCTGAAAATAAGCATAGATGCAACATTGGGAAAGAAATAAAGCTTGGGGTACCAACTACTACACTTGGAAATCAATTGGGGTATCAACTACTACACTTGGAAATCCCCACGTGTCAGATGATGGAACTTTTCCACCGGATTTATTCTACAATAGCGATGCCAAATTTGCTTCTCGGATGTTAAGGGCTCCATCCCTAACATCCATCTTTTGGACATGACTGCGACTATTCCAGTGCCTACCTGTCATGATAATGGAACACTAAAATCACACCACGAGATTTGTGCTCATTTGGAACATGCCATCATGATTTGCTGTATACAGTGATACAATTATGTAGCGTATTAAATTGACTATCAATGTCAATAGAAGCCATCGACCTTCCGTGAGTATATTTTCTCAAACAGCGAAGAGCTGTAAAGACGTCGTATATATTGACTGTATGAAATTGACAACGGAGCATTAAACTTGCAGCCACTTACATCAGATACATGTACACTAACCGCTACAACATGTCCCCAAAAGCAATATTGACCACTATTAAATCAATAGCTGTACAACAGAGGTCAGGAATGAAAATTATTCTCTCATTCCTCATCCCCCAACGTTGTATGTTGAACGAGAATCATCAATATTGAAACTGCTACAAATTGAGGACGTTTCCACTATTTCTCTATTTCACCTCCAGACTATGTGGACCGCACGGTCAACTTCTGCGGGTGACTAACTAATTCTTCTCAATTGTCAATATGTTCATGCTCTATCCATCTTCACATTCGCCTCATCCTCACAAGCCAGAGCAGGGGTATTGACAGTTGTGTATAACCAAACGTGTTGAAGTCCCCTATTGCCATGCATTGTCGTGTAACTTGTCTTCCTCCTTCTCAACCCAACGAACAACGGCCAAACTGTTGTTGCTGATTACCAACAAAACTAGAGAGTGGAACAAAGAGGAGCACTTCCTTGGGGCAACGCGACAGGCCTGAAAGATCTCGCGAACTGAACTCTTGGTGCATATGTTACTGAAGGATCTGGGAGCGTGACGATTCTTCAATGTATAAAAAATTAAACAATAATTTTGCTTATATTCTTACACGCCAATTCCGGCTGCGGCTGCTGCTGCTGGTAGATCCGCCGGTGAAGCGATACCAGATGATGTTCTAGAGGGCAGTTGAGATTCAGCGTCCTGGAAGTTCGCATCCTCGTACTTGTCATTGTCGTTGACTTCACTGGCTATCAGAAGGCAGGTAGGTGTAAAGGCATCTACAACAGAAGTGAGTGTGGGTACCTCCTTCACCTCCTCACTAGCAACCTCGATGGCAACAACCTGGAACGATGGGTAGTATACTTTGTGGCAGATGTTGGAGAAGAGGATGGTAAGGAAGGGAAGAGGAAGTAGGAGCACAACAAAAGCGAATTTTTTCACACTGAAATACCCTAGCATGGTGATTTGCGACACAAATAAACCGACCAAGATACGGGAGTGAATGTGAGGCCACATCCGACCACCACTTTCAAATTCGGGAATGTACACCTTGAGAGCCTGTGCAAACAAACCAGAAAAAGACGTCCAGTTAAGTACACAAGCTTCACATCTTCTTCCTTCGTTTTCAAAGAAACAATAAAACACTGCCAGTGTTAGCTTACAAAAGAACTTCGCGAGGTTGACAACGGTTCTACTCCAAGCTGAACTGAACAGATTTCTCTGAACACTTTCTTGTTACAAGCTCAAGATTGCAGCAAAGTCCGTAATAAATATCAGCCTACCTGATTGCGCTGGACAAACCACCCGATGCCGAAGTAGGCGAAAGCAAATGGAAGGATTAGTGGAGCGATCACAGCGTAAGCCATCGTTATGGTGATGATCAAGAGATCATTAGGCACGGATGGCAAGTAGCTGAAGGAGCCTGGGTTCCATGCATCTGCAAGCTCCTTCTCGGTCTTGCACAAATATCTCTTTTTCAGGTGAAAAACGACGAGCGGGATCAATCGAGAAATTTCCAATCCGTAACCGATGAAAAACCTGATGAAGAAAAAGTCTTCAATGAATCAGCATTTCTCAAAGGCCAAAGTTTCAGAAATATCGAATAAGGCCACAATTGAAAAATGAAAACATATTGGAAATCTACATGCCCTACCTAATACCCAAATTCTTAGAAGAAACAGTGGTCCATTCAAGAAAATGAAGGTTCCTATGTCGAATATTAAAACTGATAGGCTTTTGAGAAACTCTTACTTGAGTGCCACGAATGTGATGAAGTATGTTGCATTTGGAGGAAGACTAGCGCCAAACAACTCGACGATGGAATTGAAACTGAACTGACCAGAAGACCTGAGTTGGTCGATACTGTCCGCACTCTGAAAAAGCGTTCCGAAGATCGTGAAACCAAGAAACACATTGAAGACTACAAAGTAGTACATTTTTCCGCATGCGGCACGAACCAAGTGATCCTGTGATATAATACCTTCCGCCTTGGAAAGAGCCAAGAGAAGCTTTGGCAATAAAGCGAGGAAAACGATAAGGGCAATCTGAGGCAGGTACGCTTGGATGACGGTTTTGAGAGCAGGAATATTAACAATCGATTTGATAAATGGGAGGATCTTCGTGAGGTTGTCCAGAGTAGTGAATGAGGCAATGATGGCAATTGGGATCATGTAGAAGACTATGGTGAAGAATGTGATCACATATACAACTTTCTCTCGCACCAACCGCTGATAAAATCTGACGTGCATGTTGTCCCAAACAACTGCTCGGGGTTCTGGTGCTGGAAGTACTTCCCATCTATCCGAAAATGCGGAATGGCGTTCTTGGGCTGCCTCAGCAGCAGCGCGTCTGCTGTTGAAAAACACTATAGCTGCTCCTTGCTGTTCCTCACTAACAGTACGCTTCTGCTCTTCTTGCAACTTTGGAGTCAGCTCTTTAATCTGTTCGTTCCAGTGATTGATAGAGTCAACTTTAGGCCCATACAAACCAAACTTTCCAGTCTTGTGCATGGGTCGCTCTCCTTCGGGGGCTTCTTTGGTTTTGGATTGTTCAAAAACAGCTTCAGCATGTGCTAATTTGTTCTTGGCAGTCTCCACCTCCGTCCACAATTTTGACGCCTAAAATCATCCAAAACAACGAATTAGCAGCACGTACTTGTCCCGCGAAATGTCCACCTTCAACAAAACCTTAGAGAGGGCAATAAATTTTAGACTAATTTCGCTTTGAAATAGAAAATAAAGGCACACGAACTCAAAATTTGACGCCTCCATTTTCAACCTCAAAAAAAATTGCAATCCAGTAAATTTTTGGAGAAATTTAAAGTCATAATTTTAACCAGCAAGAACATATTCTAAGTATTGTATGTCTTCACAAGAAATCAGTTGTCACCTTGTCAAGCTTAGTGACGAGTAAAGTCTTTTCGTATGTGTCAGGATGAACTTGTCTGAAGAATGTGTCGACTTGCTCACTCCTAGTCTCGTTCTTCAATAGAGGAGGTATATCTCTGACGAGACAAGTGAACTGTTCAGGCTTAGCCCTTATGTCGGACTGATCCTTTGCACGCAGCTCAATCACATGCTTGTAGGTCTGTCGCAAAATGTAGTAAGTGACGAACGACAGCCAGTATCCTCCAATTAAGAAGGCCCACAATCGTTGACTTTTCTCCTGGAAAGATGCAAACAATGTGACGTATAAATGACAAACACGTCGAGATGTACACCGCTGGTGGTAGCATACAAACATCTCAGAAGCTCTTCGTCCGCGCTCGAACATCGACCGCAAGCTGAAACTTGACTTATACAAGACTGAAAATTAGAGCCGTACCTGGATATTTCCCATGGCGATGTCATCCAAACCGGTGAAATTGGCGGACTTCGTAGGATCTTGTTCTTGGAGTTTGTTGTTTTTATCGGTAACGGCCAGGGGAATTAAGATTGGAAGACAGAAGCAACTCGTCCAAAAAATGATCTTGAGAGCTGCATCAAAAGATCGAGTTCGAGAAAGAATAAATGTAGGATCTACTGTACAGGCATTGAGAAAAACAGACTGATGAACATGAAAACTAACGGTCGTCTATTGGTGAAGTAATGTCAAACTATGACAGTGCGCATTAGACAACCCACAAACATAGCAGAAACATGCCCACTGTAACTCGAATACAAACACAATGTACGGGTTGACGCCCGATTCAGGCTGTGCGGAGCGACGAGTACGTGCAAAGTCCTCGAATAAACAACCTGCTGCGTTTATTAGAGACTTCTCTGTTCGCAAGAACTACTTATAATTGATCTCCGATATGCGTATTACGGAGGTAATGGGCGGAATATAAAAAGTAATATTGCAAGCAGATAAGCGTTCCGGACAGAACTCTATTCGGAAACTCATTCACGATTTTGATTCTTTCATTACAGTACTTGGGTGGTAATGGGATGAAAGTGTAAAAAAGAATTGTACAGGCAGCAAGACGTTCCACAGAAAACCAGCTGAGGCCTATTCCTTCCAGTGGAACTCTTGATGACAGACCAGGAAGACCAAAGAACCACTCACAAGAAATGCAGCTGACAACAAAGCTGTTGGAGGTGAGGTGCGTGTAAAGGAAAGAGAGTTCAAAACGTCGATATTACCTGTCGTAAAGAGGTTGATGTAGATGGCAGCATCGAGACCAGCCACCTCAACAATTTCATCTTCGGTGGCCTGCCATGCTTCTTTCATCCAAGCCCATGGACTGCGGGTTTGAGTGGGATCAGGGATGGGCCTGCCTTTAACTAGCAATGCTGGATAATACACATATTTGTTGCTTGCCCTTCGCGAAAGCCATGCGAACACCAAAACTAGTACGATGAAGACCAGGAGTGAGGTCAACAGTGAAGTGATAAACGACGATGCGGCCACCATTTTGATCGAAATTTATGCTTCCGCGCGGAGGGGATTATTGAACACAGAAACTCCTAGAGACCCAGGATGGTAGTAATTCAGGCCGGGGAAATTAAGCTCCTGCGCACCACTGATAGCCCTGCACTGTCGTCATTGCTAAACCATCCAATAAATACATCCGACGTAGTCGATTAACCGCACGCACGCTCCTGAGAGGAAGGGCCCGAATTCGCGAGCCGCTTCGAATTGATTAATTAAAAACCGTTGCAACACCGGACTCGACGGCCACTCTCCTCGTACAGCTTGAACGACGAATCCACACCGGACCTTCCGCCAATGCAAGAAAGCCAAGCCCGAGCGAGCACTTGCTCGTGATTGACCGACCGACCGACCGCCTGGACTGACACTGAACACACTTGTACTCAAGACTACACTTCGTCCGCTTCGGTAGCGCTGGCAGATGGATAGTTTCTGTCACAATCGGCAGGCGGAGCACAAGGGAAATGAGCTGCGAGGTTGAGCAATGAATCTGTTAAGCTCCCCACGGACCGGCAGTCTCGGATCGGGGCGGGAGGCGAGGGATGTTCGTACCGAATGCTGCCCTGGCGGAGGCCTAGGATGCGAGCTTATAGAGTCCGGGCAGCAGCAACAGGAAGAGTAAGAAGCGCGAGTGCTGAGCTGTTGCCCCGGGAGCTTTTCAGTTCTGCCTATTTCCCCGCTCCCCCGGCCCCTGTGGTCAGCTGTCTCGACGGATTTGGGTGGACGTCAAGTCTGCCAAAAAGAGACGTTGGGGCGCCTCGACCGGCCAGCGGGACAGCCCGTCAGCCAGCCTGCGCTCGCGCCAGCCAGGCACCGTTGCGATGTGCGGAGCTTGTGCTGCCGGACGGGCTCAATCATGACCCCAAACCAGTACCGCCAACAAGCAGCAGCAAGAACGACCTCCATCTTCGTCTGACCCTCCTCGGCCAGTCTCCAGAGCCCACGCTAGCTTCGCAAATCTCTCCGGCTCTCTCTCCAAACCTCGGCTACAACTGGCGCATTCTCTTCTCACTCCCGCCGGATGTCTGAGCATGATTGCATCTTGGCCGGGCTCGGTTGGACGTTCTGCGTCCGGTAAATTATGGTTCACTTTCCCATTCGCTGAACGATCACTTGTCAGAGCTCGCCACCACCTTACTGCGATGCGCTGAAGGCGGAGCTCGGGAGTGGCTTCCAATCCGGTGGGATCTGAACTCAACGCCGGTCATGGCCTGATGCCACAGATCTCTGTTCGGGCTCCATCGAGTTCGTCCACCCCGCGCGCTGCCGGGCTGCGGCCCTCGTACACCAGCCCCCGACGCCCCCGCGGGCTCACGCTCTCCTCTCTCCACGACGACACCAGCGAGGCGCCCTTGGAGCGCTCGGCGGAAAAAGGCTGCTGGCGAGATTCTCTCCATCTGGGCCGTCGGATCGCAGCGTCGACGCTTTTCGAATGCTTGTTTTAAACGCGCCGCAGATGCCACCTGCCCCCACAGAATGGAGCCACTACTAACGTCCCGTCCCTAATCACGACGACCGGTGACCAGCGTGGGTGCGATGCGATCGCCATCGCGATTCTCAGCGTTCACTGCCCATTATCCTATTGCGATCGCGATCCCCCCGCGTTTTCTCTCGCTTTCTCTCTTGCGATCGCTACAGTTTGTTATTGCAGCAGCTATCTCCACCTTTTCGCATGTCTTCCTTGTCTCCGTCGCTCGAAAAGAGAAAGGAGGGGCCAAGTAAATAGCCAATAGGATGGAAGAACCCATCGAGCCGTACCTGGATGGATCCAAAGGGTAACCTGGGTCTAGTCCCCAATCGTATCACAAATAAATCCTTCTACGCTTTCCAAACTAGACCGTCTCCGTCCCTCGCCCGCACAAGCAGTATAGGGGTAACGTAAGAGCCTTGCATGATTTTATTAACCTCATCAAAGATCGTGACTCTCACCAAACAAGACGACGTCCTTGTGCTCCAAAGCTGAGTCACTCAATGCAAGATGACTCGATTTGCAAAGATTATTTATTCAAATTACCCGTCCCTACGTCAGTGAGTTAGCTAGGCTGGAAGCATAAATCCGGACGAAATATTTATCAAGCTATACGTGGATAAAACTCTTGCACTGCTCCCACGATATTCATGGGTTGTGTTCTGTAAGAAATTTAAAGTTACCCGTCCAGTGTACTTTGTAGAGTGCCGACAGGCGACATTATCGTGGCTAATGGCGACACGGTCACGTGGGACATAATGGGAATGCCATGTGTAACGAAATTGTGACCTACGCGTTGTCGAATGAAAACAAGTCGCCCTCTGCGAGGGTGAGGCCGTGGGAGCAGATCGGCGAACGATCGATAACCCCAGGTGGTGGAACACCTCTCTGCAACCGTTGACGGCCCACAGGTGAGATTAGACAGCAGTTTGTCGCCGTCGACGGTCGGAACAGCGGGCGTCCTCGGAACTGAACTCGATGTGCAGCGGCCCCACGACAATTTCTCTTCCTGAGACGATGTTAGTCCAGAGAAACAGGGCAGAGATTGCCATAACTCTCAAGTTTCCCGGGGAGGGTACTGCCACCTTGTCCCGGCTGTTCTTCGCTGATCTCCTGAATTCACGATCGGGTCGAGCCTCCAGTCAGCACAACTCCAGCAGTTCTGTAACCGGAGTTGAGAGACTCTGACCGCGGTTACTTCCTATCCACCCGCAAAAGGCAGTCGGAGTCAGAAAGGAAGCAGGCCAAAGGTACCTGATACTCATATCATAATGACATCGCCTTGGGCCCGGGTTTAAGACAGAATTTCTTTGTCATCTCTCGAAGATGAAGTTCACGCGTCTACGTCGTATAAGAACCCTGACAGGCCGACATCTAGTAAAGATATTCTCGGGTACGTACTATATTTCGCAAATTTTAAAAGAAGCAACAAGTCACGTAGCCCGTTCCCACAAGTGTCGCTCCGTACGAAACGAGATGGAAAGGTGGGTGACATGAGCCTCTGCTAGGATCGACTACGTGTAGCCTAGCCCATGAATCTACCATGTAGACTTCGGCGTGTGAACGTAGTAGTCCACTCGATATACTCTACGAGATTTTCCCGCGTATCTGGTGGAAACCACAATTTGCGCTAAGTCGTTACTTACAATAGAGGTCGGCAGCCACGGTACGCGCCAGAAGCATGTTGCCAACGCAACATGTTTCTGGCCCGTACCGTTGCTGAAGGATCCAAAAGAATCCGCAGTCAGGCCGACTGCGGATTCTTTTGGATATGGTTCGTGTGATCGGTATGATGGATCCAACTTCTACTGTAATAGTGGATTCAGTCGTTCGACGGTACTACGTAGGTTTAGAGTGCTTCAATCCGATATACCGTCCTTACTGTTCCTTTGTACATTCAGAAAGATTCATAATTTAAGATTTTTAAGATTCAACTGTCAGACAATATTATCATTTTACACCCATATTTCTCATTGATATCCTTCATTTGAGCCATCATGAACCACTTATTATAATATCTGCGCAAACTTCCGGACCTACATCTGACCTTGGCATCGAAACAATTATTTCTTTAATTATGTATCGTGGTCTGTGAAGAGGTGTTAGGCCCCAGTCACCAAAGAGAAAAGGAAGTGACTTGAACTTCCATGTGTCTAGGGTCAAGTGTTCCATTTCCATTTGGTCTCAAGTACAGTATTCAACAAGCTGTAACTTGTTGTCCAGCGGGGATCCAAGCAAGATGGCTTGGATCCCCGTCTGTATGGTCTTGTTGTTAGCTCGTATCTTATCCATCTTGACGTTCAAGGTGATTGGTTGTTCAGAAGTCGATCATAAGCATCTTCGACTTAGTATGAAATGGTTCCAAAACAAACTTTTCGAAGCACACCACATAACAAAAAAGCTCTCCGTGGACGGTGTGCTCCTGATTCTACTGTGGAGCAAGTGGTAAAGGGAACACAGTCAATGCAAAGCCATTATTAAAGTCTAATTGACTTCAAAAGGGAGGGGGTTGTTGCCTCCGTTTGATATGGCTTACCCCGCAATTCTTGTGCTCTTTTCACGTGATAGATAGCCCACCATACTTTCCATGAAGCAAAGAGAAGATGCCTCCTGATCCAAGGGAGAAGAGAGGTGTCGTTTGGATTGTGAAAAGGGATAGTGCGAGGGATGACGGCTTTGAATGCTCAGTTCTGGAATAAAATTAGTGTTAGATTTATACATTTGAGATGTCACTTGCAAGCTCAAAGATGATTCAAGAATGAACTTCAGAGAATAAAGGGCACGAAGTCCTTCAAGTTCTGATTGTTCGGATAACTTTCTTGATTTTATTCTCTATCTAGACTAGTGTCTTTGGCGGTGGTGTCTGCTACAGGGCACTGAGGCTCATAAGCATTATTTTGCAATTTTAGTTATGTGTTTCTAACTTGCAGTTTAGATTGGAAGACTGTGAATATCATAATAAGAACTAACAGTAGCTGTGCACTTCGTCATGTTTCGTCTGAGGATGAGATCCGCCCAGCCTCAGATTCAAATTCTCCCATGAACTACTTCAAGTTGAAAAGTGGACATAATCAGTTAAGAAAAGTGGTTTTTCTGCTATGGTCTATATCAACACAATTTGTTGTGGTGTATAGACAACAACAGTTTTGAGACAGTGTACATGTATTTTGCCTATCAACTTGATAATAGCTAATGCGAATGTCCAACATAAATGCAATCATAGGTAGTTCAGTCTTTTAGACAAGTTAGTTCTTGCCAAGATGGAAATACGTGTCCAGACCCCTTTCTGCGAGGGTTATCCGCCTAATATTTTCATTTGCTTTACATGTCTCTTCACGGGTCTTGGGCCTGTGATACCACCTTATGGGAATGTATTCTTCACCTCAAATTATAGAACATAAACAGGAGATACTGAGCACCACAAAAAACATTTACGATTCAAACTATGCTCCATGAAAAATTCAAGCATAATTCTGTCGACAGCATGTTAATAATATTAAATTTAAATATCTTGTTTGACTCACCCAAATACATATTATATGATATAAAATCATGTGAATAGAATTGAAAAATTCGACTGAGGAGATATGCTAAGGTGGTTTTCTAAATTAAAACAAGTTAGATTTTGGTCCAAGAAGTCATAACTAATTATTAGTAAGACTTTCTACAAATATTTTTAACTTTTGCATTCAAAATGTGTGTCAAAAATCTACCTGAATTTTTTCCATTACATCTTACTCAGAATGTTTTGAAGATACAAAACGGTTATGATCTCAAAATTGGACGTAGTCGCCGCAGTTTTTGTGAGAAAGAGAAAAATCTGCACACCTTGCAAAAACATACAACACTTTTAGTAATGTGCAATATATTAATAACATCACAAGCCATACAATCCTTGTTCTAACGTATGATATGATTCCCATCCGTGTACTTTATAGTTAATGATGGTGAAAATATGCATTTGATTGTGGTCAACTCATCTCTATATCTTTGCATGATATTTGATTTGAAACAAAGATAAATAAATCGTAAATTTTATTTTATTTCGTAACGGAAGAAAACATTTCATTGTTAGATACAAATCAAGAAAAGTATGTCAAGTTTTGAAAGCTAATATTATATCGTGTGTTATGCAACACATGCATTGGGACTCATAAGCATGAGCACGGTCTTTCGATTATCACCCTGGATGATGGAAAAGTGGAGCCTACTACAACCTTGAAGCACACAGTGTCCTAACATCGAAAACTGGACCAAATCAAAATATGTCATCGCAGAAAGCCGTTTTGAGAAGAATTTTCTTGATTGACCTGAAGCTTGTTTCTCTTCCTTGAACATAGGATTGACACAAGTTGCTGAATTCACAACCCATGCTCATCGTATTGGCAATCATAAGTTTAGAATCCATGCACGTTGTTTCAGGAAATGTGAGCGAGAAGACGACGACTTTTATCTCTGCTACTTTCGTGTTCCCTACAAATGGGAATTAGAAGGACAATATGCCATTTAATCCCCCAACACTGCATTACCTAGTTAGTCCTTTCTCTTCGGAATCTGCATGGTAGGTCTTACCGGTAGGATTACCGTTTTGTGGCAGTTAGAGTACCGTTCTTAAAATATTCAAAGGTTCAAGGTCAAAGCAAAGCTTACTTACTTGCGTGG